ACTAAAATATAAATTATAAACCAAAGTGAATTTAAAAATTTATTGATTTAATTGTTTTTATAAAAAAAATATATTAAAGTAAAAAAAATATTTTCCACTTTGAAAATCAATTTTCGTCAGGAAGTTTATAATTCACCAGAGAGCACCATAACTTTAGGTTTTTTCAATAATTAGACATTTCACCTATGATGTCACGTATTAGTTATTTCGAATTAACGAAAAAAATTATTTCTTTACGTTTTTATATACTTTTTGCTATAAATGTGTCTTTTTTAAGTTCTTAATTTTCATATTGCTTGAGGATTTATTTAGCTTATTTCAAAAGTGTTTTATTTTTGAATAAGGAATAATTTAAGAAGTAATTGCAGTGTTCCTTGTTATAGATAATATTATGTTGTTATTTTCCTTTAATAATTGGTTAGTTAAAAGTTTTCAGTTAATGGTTAATTTTTGAAATTCGATTTTATTTCAATAAAAATTCTCAGAGAAGTTCGTATAAATATTTTTTTTTGTATGCAATTTGTATTTTTTTATTTCTTTTTTTTATCGCATTATATTAGGCGACGAGTCACCAAATTGATATTGATTTTCCATAGAAAAATATTAACAAAATTAAATTAAACGCAAGAGAGCACAGTACTAGAACCTGCCTTTATATAATTATTTAACTAGCTGTTTTCCACGACTTCGCCCGCGTATTTTATAGTCTATGTCTACCACGTACGATGTAATTTCCAGAAAGTAAAAGAATTACTATGATCGGATCAGTATTTCTGAAGGTTATCCGCTACAAACAAAGTTAGAAAATTAACCTTATTAATATATGTACATAATAATTTTCTATTTTTATCTATTTTAGTACCTTAAATTTTCGGAACTTCAGTTTTTAATTATTTATTAGCTAAACTGAAATAAAAAAATGTTGATTGTAAAAATGCAAGTTTTTAACCTACTTCAAAAAAGGAGGTTCTCAGTTTGACTTTAATGTATGTATGTCTGTTTGTGCGTGATTATCTCGCGTTTGAATCGGTATTGATGCAGTTTTTAGTATAGTATAATTAGGAGAAAGTTTTAGCCAACTAAAAGATGGAGCTTTGTACTTTAACAAGTTTAGACGCAGTGTTCAGAAAATAAATTTAGTATTACATATTATATAAAAATATCAATATCAGTTAAAACCATGAAAAAAATTAAAAAAAAAATAGAACTGACTATAAACTTAAAATTAATACTCATCTCAAATGCGATTTATTGAAGAAAATGCTATTGAAGTTACACATATCATTTATTTAATACCTACATTAAACCTCCGACTTTAATAACATTTTCTTGAATAAGTCGCTTTTGAGATAAGTATTATTAATAACTTTTTTTAAGTATGAAGTCGGTTCTATTTTATTATTTTTTAAGTTTTCTAGTTTCATGTCACTCATACTTAATTTTAATATCTATTACTTCCAATAAAAAATTTCTCACACCTAGGAAAATACGTAAATATGGGCACTTACAATAAGCTTTTTAATGAAGCGAGTACCCATATGAAACAGAATTTATTGCCTAACTGTTTATAAAATAACTGTATGCAATTAGTTATCAAGTTGTATTTTAACTGCATGCTATAAAATATAAGTGTTAATGATATTTTGAAAGGTGTATCGAACCAAGAATTTTTATCTTAATCCAAAATTTTAAATGGTTGTAAATATAAATAAAAGTAGCTCGGTGGCGTAGTGGATAAGCGCCGCGGGCCTCGATCGTTGTCGTTAAGCAACTTTCGCAAGCGTCGGTCTCGGGATGGGTGACCAAAAAATTATTATCTCGAGCTACTCCGTGCTTCGGAAGGCACGTTAAGCCGTTGGTCCCGGCTGCATTTGCAGTCGTTAATACCCTCCAATCCGCATTGGGTTAGCGTGGAGGGTCATGGCCCATCCTTAACCATCCATAAGGAAGGCCTGAGCCCCTGCAGTGGGGACGTAAAAAGGGCTGATGATGATAATGATGATAAATAAAAATTCGGCTGCTTAGGTGGATTGGCTGAATATCTATGAACATACGTTCACTAGTAGAGAAAGAAAAATCAATACCAAGATCAAATCTTATACTTATGACGGATAAGTAAACAAATTGTATAGTAGTCAATTTGAGTTATACATAATTTTAAAAAATCTGAAATTTAGCTCCGTTTACGTTTGAAATGTTCATACTGCTTAATTATTTTTACTTTTGGTTTTACTTAATGTCACGGTAAAGGCAATACCAATTTTTGTAGCTTCGAAAGCACGTCTATAGACGGCGTTTAGTCTTTGACTATATTAGGATTCCTATGTAGTGTAAACAGAAAGCTTTACATTCCCTAACCTAACTAACACTAGATATAGTGTGGTGTAATCTCTCCTTAAGTGAAGTAATCATCCTTAATTTTTGCGTTTTCTTTTACAATAAATCAGGACTTTTATTTATTCGGTAAAGGCGTAGAGCTAGCTCTTAGAGCCATTTCTGGCGTAACCTTTTGTTCTGTTTTCATGAAAATACGATTAATCGAATATTGAAACCCAATAGATAATAAACGGAAATCTCTGTTACTTTAAAAAACACTAAAGCGTAACTATAAAGGTCATCTACCGCGATATAAAAAAAGTTCTCAACGGTGTTTACAAATTACGCAATGCATTGGGCATCAAACTTCGTACTAATAGTTTAAAAACAAATATTACTACTAGATGGTTGTATTACCGGTCACGATCAATAAGTTCGTTGACCCAACATCATATTAAAGATAACTGTTATTTAATTGAAACTTGCTTAATAACACGTTAATAACATGTAGGTAAAGATGTTATTTATAATGCTTTAAACGTTACTTAGAGTTCGGATGTTTGGCTCGCCAAAATATTGATTAATATTTGTTTTTACCATAATCGTACTTAAGATACAGTCAAGGGAAAAAATATACCTTCACCTGTTTTTTTATTGTAAAATAGTTTATATTCAGAACCAGGATGCCGTAATTAAATAAGAGGATTTCACTCTAACTGTGAAATATGAAATATTCATAAATTTAAAAAATATCAAGCCACAAATAATACAAGAAAAATATAAGTTTCCTACTTTTCTTAACTAAAATATTATCAATACAAAAACTGTGCTATTCTGTTATATATAGCCTCAAACTCGATGCTCAACTCAGCGCTGACACGGACAAACTGAAGCTTTAATTAAATAAAAGCTTTGACACCTTTTTATTGTTCGGATATTTTTTATTGATTATTGTTCAGAATCTTAATGTTACCGGGAAATGGGTACGGGAAAATAAAATTCATTCGCATCAGCCTCCTTCAGCTATAACAAATATGGGAGAATCGTTAGTATTATTATACGATTGTTAAGCAACTTTGCAATAGGCTAAGTGGCCACAACATTATTATCTAAAGCTCCTCCGTGCTTCGGAAAGCACTTTAAGCCGTTGGTCCGACTGCATCAGATTCAGATGGCACGTACACTAAAATTACTATATACCAATTTGTTTTAGACCAAGAATTTACATTCAAATAAGCTATAATAAAAAATAAGAAAATTGCATCATATTTCAAAGAGATTTGTCACATTCACAACGTTGTTTATTTCAAAATTTTCTTGGTATAAATATCACACAGTTACTCATAAAATTCACCATTTTTTCGATATCGTCTTATAATTTTTACTCTTTATTAAAGGGAAAATTAATAAATAAGTAAGTAACTTTGTATCCGAGAGCTATAAACATTTTTACATTAATCTTAATGATTTGCAAGTAATTATTTAAAAGATATTTTTTTACGCACAAAACACAATCCTCTATCCTTATCTAATTCATTCTAAATGATTATATTCGATCAATTTTGCATTCACAATCATCATCACCAGCCCTTTTACGTCCCCTCTGCAGGGGCTCAGGCCTTCCTTATGGATGGTTAAGGAGGATGGGCCATAACCCTCCACGCTGGCCCAATGCGGATTGGAGGGTATTAACGACTGCAAATGCAGCCGGGTCCAACGACTTAACGTGCCTTCTGAAGCACGGAGTAGCTCGAGATAATAATTTTTTTGGTCACCCATCCCGTGACCGACCCTTGCGAAAGTTGCTTAACGACTACGATCGCGGGCCGCGGCGCTTATGTGGATAACGCCACCGAGCTACTCACAATGCTTAATGCTTTAGCATTCACAATGGTATAATGGAAAATGCTTAAAAAATCAATTTTGTACCTGAATCGAAAAGTTAATACATTTGTAAAAATATTTTTTCTTCCGTTTGGGTGGATTGCCTGAACATTGATGAAAATATGCTCTGTAGTAGTGAAAAAGTAACAAGTGTTTAAAAAATTTGTCAGTCCTGAGTAGCTCAGTGGTTAGATCAGTCGCCCGGATTTCGAAAGGTCATGGGTTCGAATTCTATCTCAGAGCGTCTCGGACAAAGTGATTTTTTAAGCATTCTTCATTAAGAATATCATTCTAAATGAGTTAAATATGTACAACCTTTTGTATTTGCGCCCAATCAATGCGTTTATTCGTTTTTCATCTCTTCCTAAACAAGCAAGATCCGAGTGGCAAGTTCCACTTTCGAATACCGTTAAAATCTATAAAGTCAATAAGTTTCTCTATGGCCGCCGCGTATAACTGTCCCGGGCGTGTTTAATTAATAGCCAATGCGATGGCGAAACATTTTAAGATACCTCTAGACACTTCAATAGGTACTGTCACAGTAAACCGTTAAGGTTATTCAGTTTAAACTGTCTAGACTTACCTTTAGATATTATATGACAGTCTTAACATTGCGCATGTTATATTTCACATTTATAATTATGATTCAGATTGATAGATTGGTAGATTAATTAGTAAAGGTTTTTATCTATATACTAATAATCTAAAGGAAAAAAATGATTATGTGTTTGTTTGTTTGCATCAAATAACGCCAAAATTACCCTACTAATTTAAAATAATATTTTATCTACTGGAAGCAACATCATACACGGGTGACATAAGCTACGATATACGCGGGCGAAGTCGTAGGAAAACAGTTAGTAAAAGTTATTCGTATTCTTCTGTTTCAGTTTTTAATACGAGATGGCGCTAAATATAGTCAGCAGAATTTTCCTACTGCTGGCAGCTGCACACTATGGCAAAGCAGTGGACTTATTTAGAAGTAAGTTTTTTTTAATATTGATTACTATTGGTCTTCTATTGGTACACACGACTGCACTTCACGTTACCACAATATGTCAAATTTACGCAATTGACTTTTGACTCTATCTTTAATGTTTTAACTTAAAGATTTAAAATCAAGTGGAGAAATTTGACAGTTTTTTTTCTTTAAATTATAGTCTGGTATGCTGTTGACTGTACATGAATTGTATGTACTACACAAATACATTATACACGCCTTTTTTGAATAGTCCAGTAAAATACAAAAATGGTTTAAATTTTCTCCTTCCCTCTAAGTATCCTCTAATTCATGTTTGTTGTTGTGGATAGAAATGTTAGAAATTTCAATCTTTATAAGCGCAGTTTTCCAAAGACTACGTGGAGAAGGGCGAGGGTTAAACAATTATCTACATAATTTATTTAAACTTCTGGCACTCTGAGATGGAACTCGAACCAATGACCTTTCGTAATCTGGACGACTGCTTTAACCACTGAGCTACCCAGGACGGACGAATTTATCAAGCACTTTTTACTTTTCCGCTACTACAGAGCGTACTTTCATCAATGTTCAGGCAATTCACCCAAATCAAATGCCAGGGGATGCAAAATTGTTCACGTATAATTATTTAAACTTCCTTAAGTACACATTCATGTGTAGAATTTAACAAGGTTTAGCGTTGGAGTTGATTTATACTGACTGCACTTACTTCTGCACTTAGTATTAGTCAAAATTCATATTATTAAACAGATAGGTACTTAGCAAAGGTTAACCTAGTACGAGGTTCTACGGGAGTAATATTTACTCCTAGAAGGGAGTAGGTTTGCTAATTCTATGTATAATATGAATTCCGACTAATATTAAAATTGCAATTTTAGCCCATATTTACTCTGACGCTAAACCTTGTTTATTAATAGCGCTATAGATGTTTAAAACCATTAATATTTCTTTTAAGTTGGTTGAAGAACGAATATGAGATTTGTTGATGATCATGATCATCAACAGCGTAATGTACACACTGCTGGGGCTCAGGCCTTCCCAATGGATGGAACCAAAAATCGAATAGAGAGAATGGACCATGACCCACCACGCTGGTCCAGAGCGGATTACCGTGCCTTCCGAAGGAGGAGTTCGAGATAGTAAATTTTTGGTCACCCATCTTATAACGGGCCATTGCAAAAGTTTTTTAAAAACCGCACGCCACGGGCTCGGGTTCCTCTATTGTTAATTGTAGGAAAAAAAATCTGGTATATTATAATTTATATTATAATGACCACTAGGTATAAATTGCACCCAAGTGTAGCCGGAGCATATATATATATATATACTTCCATATTCGATTTCAAACTTTAACACATATAAGGTTTTAGAAAGAATTTAAAAATCCATTGCAGTAATTTAACATATAGCGGCAACTTAACGTGCAGCCGCGTGTACCAGCGCAAGATAAAAATAAGCCACTCTCGATAATTACCTTGGTTATACTAGTTTTTATGTTAAGAGAAAGGGCTCAATTGTGCTATAAATAAAATGTTTAAATAATGGTGAAACCAAGTAAAATATTATTGTATGTTTTTTACTAAAGAAAATTATCTGACATTGTAGGCACCTCTACAAAAACAATTTTTGTATTAAAAACTTGAATTTAGTATCATTTAAGGGAAGCAAGGAGTTTGATGGTATGACGAATAGGGTAAGCTATTTCGCAAAAGCCGAAAATTTATCATCCCTAGTTCATCTGTGCTTTGAGAGGCATGTTAAACTGGGTTATTTTCTGTTATTCCTATTTCATCTATAGAGAAGGAGTGCTCCAGTAGTAGGGATATTACGTAGTAGATGAGGTTTTTATTGTTGAATAGGATTTTTTTGAGCATTTAGCACCAAAACTGAAATTTCTAACTCTAATTTCTGTAAGAAATGCTTAGAAACATAATCTCAAAATCTTTATTTCCAACCGCTTATTCCTTCTGCCCATTTTTACGTCTTGTGCGATTTAAAATCGTTTTTTCACTCGCCAGTACAGGACTCCATTTTGCTTTTTACATATATTTTTCCATTTTAACATAACGTTTTTAATTTTATTGGCTACAATCGGTTAAACAAACGATGTAATTTTGTAAATCATAAATAAAACATAAATACCTTTAGAATTTCGTAAATTGAAGCTTATATCATAGTCATTGTGCGAGTCCACAAAATGCACAAACATAGATTAGATCGTGAACTTGTTCTTTTTATTCTCTTAATTGGCGTATCATCGTGTCATAAACCTCTTCCCCTTGTTCTATGTCATAAACCACAGAGATACAATAGGCGACGAATGAATTTCTTTTTCTTTCAGGCCCAAGACAAGCGCCTGGCAGTATCTTCACAGTTGGCAACGGAGAACCATGTCTGGGCTCAGACAGGTCCACCGGCGGTGTGTGTCTGTCCAGGAACCAGTGCAACACGCAAGGAGGAAAAGCTATCGGCTTTTGTGGAGTGTTCGCTACGTGTTGCTCCCGTAAGTTACCTCAAACAACCCTTTATGATGTCACTTTACAGTCCTGTAAACTTTTAATTGTCTGAGGGAGAATTACGCCACATACTTAGCTACCTGGCGACCGAGGGGGCTACGTGGGATTTTTTGCCGGAGAACTAGTCCACCCAATTTATTTTAGTCACTATAAGCCTCACAGAAATCTTCTCATTGATAAAGGAATAGCCGGGACTCTTATTCCTGATTCTAGACAAGAAGGTTTGCATTTTGAATAAATAAATAAATTTTGCAATTGAATTCCCACTGGGTTATTTTATTTATCAAAATTTTGCCAAGCTATTTCAGAATTTTACATCACTTTTATATTTTTTTAAAGATGTCTAATAATGTAATGCTAAACGTAAAAAAATCTATTTTTTTTGTTCCTTGCTACCGATGTTAAGACTTTGAGCCATATATCCCAGGTGAGGCCATTGATCACAAACACATAAATAAAGATGAACTATTAAATTTATTTAATATTATATGAAATATATAACAATTATATGGTATGAATAAAGAGCTACATTGTAAAATAGGTATTGAATTAGCGTCCCTAAATTTCACAATTAGGTTTTAAAAGACAAACGTATTTTAAAATCGCAAATCAATTTATGAGGAAGAAGAAGTCGGGGATGCCTAGCACACCATTGCTTACAGATGACATATTCAACACAGAATTTATATAAATACAGTACGCGTAGCAAAGCAAGCTCTAACAACGCTTTGTCTCCACTAAATGTCACTTTTCTCGGGTCGAGAGTGAGTTGTATGTATATAAAAGTGACATTTGGATGTAAATAGAAACGTAGCTTACTATTACTTTAGCATGTATACATTTCTTTACATATCCTTTCTGTTACAGTTAATGCTTGTGATGTGAGAACTAACACCAAAGTAGCTGTGTTCATTAACCCACCATTGAATAAGGAGTCATCTGGCCTGGAATGCTCCTACAACGTGGAAATCAATAACAACAATGTATGCCAAATGAGGATTGATTTTGAAACATTCAATCTTGCACCGCCGACTACGGTAAGTAACAATATGAACCCGCTAACCACTATGCCATTTATACAACATACAACTCAGAAAACAAACTAATCAAAATTATCACTGCAGCCAAAGAACCGTTCTTTGGGTTATTTTTTACTTTTTAGAGTGATTTTTTGGGTCGAAAGTTTTTAAAATTATAATTTTCTTCTATTAATTCGTTTACAAGCTACGACGCTGTAAGTCCAAATAATTAAAAAGAATAACTACTTCATCTTGGTGCAGTGCCTGTAACTCTTAAAGTGCTAATCAATTTTTCATAAATAAATAAACACCGCAATGACTTTCGAAAAAAAACCACACCCAAATCAGTTCATTACTTCTGGAGCGACGGTGCACAGACACGATACAGACAGACAGAGAGAACGAATTATAACACCCCTCTTTTAAAAACTCCTAAAACCTCCTTGGTAAAGTGAATCGTGCATTGTGTCATGCTGTCAGCATAGTTATGGCTCTACATTTAATAAATAAACAATAATTTAACTAAAGAAAAAAATACTTTCTACGATTGCTAGATCACCATGTAAAAAGTGTTTTAGCTACTCGATTGTGTAATATTGTTATTATCTTGATTGTAATACAGGTCGATCCGGTTGAGAACGTGACGCAGCGTCCTGGCTTCACCTGCAGGAACGATATCTTCCAAGTGACCAATCTCCAAGCTAACTCTGACTATCTTCCAGCTCTCTGTGGTGACAACAATGGACAACATTGTATGTATAACATACCAAAAAAACTTAAGAAAAGCATTTTATTATCTGTTGTTATATTGACCTGTTTTTGAAAAATATCCCCGACTAGATTATAGCAGAGACTTTGGGTTTTGAAAGAGAAAGCTTACACCAGATTACTGGCTAAAGTCTATTTTGTTGTAATACACTTCTTTTGATCGTGTTTTCACAGTAATTTGGATTTCTTATTTGACTTTTTCGTCACTATTTTACTGTTATATTAAATTAGCTTCTCATTAGATATTATATGTTATTTATAGTGTATGTTCGCGTCAACGCTTCAACCAACAGTCGGTCTATCAGGATCAACTTTAAGATAGCGGATCGCAACACACAGCCAAATCTGCCACAAGCCACGTGGAAGATCAAAGTAACACAATTGGAGTGCTTCAACACATTGGGGTGAGTTTGGACTGAAATACTTTGAATGTTGTTCGACAAAAACACTCAATCCACAATGTAGAAAATTAGTTTTCTTATGCACTGTTATTTAAGATCTTAATTACAAAAAACATTCATGATCTATGTGTAAAGCGCGACTCGTAAGCTGAACTAAAACGGTGATTTTTTGCGATAATACCTATAGTTACGACCCATCTCGATTGAGACCCGAAAATTGTGCTGCGCAGTCGCCATTTTAGTTCAACTTACACGCCTTGAGCGATACATATGATAATGTACTTTTAAAATTATAATATAAAGAACAAATAAAACGTTCTTTCCATACATTTAATCAACATCACAAACCGGTATCATGTTTCTGATATATTTAACCGTATCCTCGGCTGCACAAGGGTCCAATTCAGCTTACTGTTGTTTATGCTAATCAAACAACTTTAAACTCGACGAAGAGCGCAGCACTATAACAGCCTTGAGCATCAATAGCAATGCTGGTTGTTAAGCCCGACCTTGAAATTATAGGAGAAATAATTAAATTAATCTTTATCATATATTTCTAGTAAATATCGAGATGGTCTCTTCGAAGCAATTACTTCATCACTTCCGAGCACCCCACTTACGACTTCTGCAGATAGAGATGAATATCTAATTGGTAAGTATCAATTTATTATTTATAGTTGTTTGTAGTTTTTTTTTATAGAAAACGACAATAGCACACTTCTCTATCTTTGATGCCGGTTTTTTTTCAGTTATTCCCTATCGATTTTGTAACCGCAGTTTTATCTCAAAAAATGCATCAACTGTAAGCTGTTTTCAACTTTAAAGTTTCTTTCGTTTGATTGAATTTTCCAGCTCCTCCTGGCTGCCTCCAGTTTTATCCGGATCGAGCTGGTGCATTCGAGTCTTTCAACTATAATCGAGGTGCTGGACCTTATATAGCCAACTTGGCTTACGCTACCTGCTTCAAAAGAACGCCTGACGTCTGTGGTATTAAGTAAGTAATGCGTTGAAACATTTATTTTAAATATTGTTTTTTTAATCTTAAACCGACTTAAATTACTAAGATGAAATACTTGTTTTACTTAGATGTAAAACAAGTATTTCGCAATATAAAAACAAAACTCCTGAACTGATATGAGTGAAACTTTGGTGAAGCGATAACCTCATTTTTGTTTTAAAATCTGTTAATAATCATCTATTTATAATATTATCACAAAACGTAATATCACCATTAGAAACTATTACGCCAACTTTTACCTAATAAATACAATAAATATAACTCAGTATAAATGAAACTAACAAATCGAAGTCAAACTGTGAAATTACAATCTAACGCACACATAAAATATAATTTTATTCATTGTCTGAAGGAATCCTCAAATAAAAAATTGGTGAATATTAAACTGTGACAGAGCTTTTACAATATCGTATAATTCTCTCATCTTTGATTATAGCTCATTTGAGTGCTATTTTTAGTACAAAACTAATTAAACGACAGTCCTTTTCGGTGTACCTCTTAAAATACCCACTTCTTAAAAGCTAATAAAATATCTGTTAACAGGCTTACCTCGGCCAGTTTCGAAATGGCGTACCGACTAGAGGAGAACTTGTATCTCGACACGGACTGTCAGATCAACCCTGTGACGCAGGGCGCGGCACAATCTGAAGACTATTTGTTCATACCAGAAGCGGAAACTACAGACGGACTTAGAGGATCCAAGTTCTGTGGCAGCAGTGCTGCTAACCAAATCATAGCTTGTAAGTTATCATTGAGAAGTGATTTGCGTCTGCTATTGCAAAAGTTAAGCTACTTTCGTAAAAGCCGGTCGTTGGATGGGTGACCAAAAAATATATCCTCAAACTCCTCGGTGCTTCAGAAGGGAATTTAAGCTGTCACCTGTATCTGCAATCGTTAGCACCTAATAATCCATACTGGACCGTGCTTCCCTTCTATTATGGCACTTGGCTTTCCTATATAGATAAAAAATCATGGGAGAACGGATTGGTGAACGTTAACGACTGAAAATGCAGCCGGCACTTGTGACTTAACGTGCCTTCTGAATCACGGACCATCCATGGAAATATTTCACAAGTATTTCTTTCTTTCTAATCCATACTCCTTCTCGTAAGATGATGACCTTGAAAAATGTTTAACCTATGTATCTTAAAATAAATTAATTTGCATTATCACTTTGTTTATTATACAATTAGCTGAAATTTTTGCTATCTTTGTTTTCAATGAATGAATTTCGATTAGAGTTTTTGTTAAGATAGACTTCATTATATGAACAGTAATTAACTAACTTAACATCATTTCCAGCGACACCACCGGGACCCCTGTACGTGCACTTCCACAGTGATAATTTAGTGACAGATGACATCACAGAATCAGGATACAGATTTAATTACAATGTCCTCAACAATTGCTACCTAAAAAAATAATAAACAACTAAGTTGTAAATTCCTTGGCCATAATAAAAACGAAAAAAAGACATTTATGATTAAAAGTTTGAATTGAAATTTTCTCCTTTTATATATTGAATGCTCTGTATGGCTTTTGTTATTTTTTGTTTTCATAATTTAGTTGACTAAGTCGTGGGGTTATTTTATCACAGTATTTAAGTAATGTTTGGTTGACCACAATATGTGTTATAGTAAAATAAGTCCAGTTGCATTTATAGTTTTAAGTAATTTAAGTGCCAATACTCATATTTTGTATGAGACTAAAATAAATATTTTTTAAGTATCCACCACTGTTGTTTTTATTTCCTTAAAATACAAATAAAATATAACATTGATGCTGATTCCCTCAATTAATGATCTAAAGCTTATTTTTGCAACTTCACTACTCACAGTGCATGTAGACCACATGCTGTTTCATTTCTAGTGAACTAGGTATATGACAAAGTTATATCTATGCTTTTTTTAAACCTAAATATAACTTTGTGCATGTAACTTGCACAAGTTAGCCAAAGATATATAGTGCCTGCATCGTAATATGTCTCAAAAGGCAAAACGAAATGACAATATACCCACCAATATTGGATAATAACCGAAGAACTATAATAATAATAGTAGAAAATGTAACGTGGTAAAAGAGAAGGAAGATTTTGCTATCATCGGTTCTTCTTTACTCGCAGATGCTTAATAAAAGACAGTATGCTAATCTTTTAATAGAACCAAAACTACATTTAAAGTAATGAAACAAAATAAATAACATTATAATCTGTCAGTACCGCGATTTTCTCTCTTTACTAATCAATCAACGTCTCAAGGCCTGGTTTACTTAGTATAATATTAATAAACACATTGGTGACTGTACCAATGAGTTCTTTGTATAGACAATATAGAACATCTCAGATGACGAAGAAAAATTACAATATACCCGCCAATATTGTATAATCAAATACATCAAGTTACATAAAACTGACAATTTTCAATACTTGAATATAAACCTTAATTCGTTGCAGGGAGTGTACAAAATACATTAAAGAGAGACATATTTTGGTAACCTAACATGCAGCTGTGTGTACAAGGAAATTATTACACTTTCCGAAATAAGTTCATTATAAATAAAACAAAATACATCGCTGTATAAATGCAATAACTTTTAATTAACCGTTAAAATATATTAATGACTAACTTATGTCGTTATTGTTAAAAAATATATTGTATACATTGCACCTATTAATTTATTTATATTTATTTCTCTCTACATTACCAAATTTAATAAAGTGTAATTTATTTTAGGAGGTCTTTGTTGACAATTATTTTAAAAATAATATTTTATTAATTTATACAAAGCCCTGTATATTTTTTAACATGCAATTACTCTAAAAAGCCTTTAATAAAATACAAAAAGAACTGTTAAAAGTACAAAATAATCTGATCGATGCATTTCAGGAAAAACTAAAAACTTCTAAATATTTACAAAAATAACAAATGTCTAATGTTATTACTATTTTATAATAATTAAATATTGATATATTATAAAATATAATTTTCACCTTAAAAATAAAAAAGATCACATTATTCATAAATCGTTGAAAGCAGTCTTATTTACATATTTTTTTTCTTAGATTAAATACAAAACTCTAAGAAAACAAATTAAGTTTTTTTTTTAATTTCATAAGTAATAATATTTAAAATATTTAAAACTCCATTTAATCAAACGTGATAAGTTCTCATTTAAAATACATATTTTATAAGTATTTGGTTTAATTATGCTATGAATATACAATATGATATACATCTTTTAATATTACTATAAAAATATGTAAAACATTTTTTTATATTTTTGTCCCCTAATTATGAGTCTGTAAAAAATCTACTAAGCCTCCTGTTTAAGTTGAATGGTAATATAATAAGTAGCGCTTTCTCACTTCAACAACTAACTGTTTCAAACTAACTCGTGTATTTACAATATTTGGGATATTATTAAACTATAATAACCCTGCTTAACATATGCGTACATACATGCCTTATCCAATCTCCGTGCGATCGGAATTATTTTCATTCATGCGCAGCATTTTGTATGCATGCGCAAAAATTTTCATGCATGCGGAGTACTTTTGACGCACGAGGAATGGTTTCAGGCGCAGACCAAGTAAAAATGACTAAATTATATCTTCTCTTATGGTTTGTATTCTAATTTCTATGATTTCAAATTATGTTCTATAGAACGGCGGTCCCCTACTAACGGTGTATGTTGATAACGGTATCCCTTTAGTTCCGTAAATGGCTTCAGGGGCATTTTCATAATCCACATCGTAGTAAATACCTGTTTGATTCTGAAAAATTCAAAGTAAGATATTATAGTAATACACTATGAAGATCTCAAAAAGCAAAATTATATATAACTTTATTTTGCAAAATTTTGGTTTAAAATACTAAATTAATTGATTATAGTACTAAAAAATGTCAAATTTCTTGCAATAAACTTTGAGCTTAATCATATAATTTCGAGTTAGAGTACAGGCTGTGGGATTAGAAGCTCTATTTGCAGCCTAGCCAGAGCTTAAACTTCACTGGCATCCGCTTGAAAAAGTTCTTATTATACTTACATGCATACTTCTGGCTCTAGATTTCGGTCTAGGAACCAGCAGATCAGCTCTGTCCTGTACGTGGCTTGAAGCTTCCGAGCTGGTGGAATCCGTTGCCATGTGATTGGTGTAACCTAAGTACAGACGTTTATACAGGGTTACTTATGAAAACCAACAACCTCACAAAACTTGACCTTGAAATTGACGACGAGCGCAGAACTCAATCAAAGTAAACCTAATTGAGGGCCGATTTTTCAAACCTCAGATAAAAGTACCAATAGTTAACTGAAGAATAAAGTTATTGGACTCTTTAGTCGTCGGATAAGTGATTGTCAATTTTTCATTTGATATTTATTCTATGAATAGCTATCCGACGAATAAACTTGTCTGTGAAAACGCTAACTTCACGAAGGTGAAACAACAATATAGAATGAACGTATGTTAGAAGAGAGAAGACTATTTCTTTCATTTCTGACATTTGTCAACGTCGTGTCTAACGTCATTCAGATTTACTTTTGTAATATTATGGTACGAGTGAGGTTATTTTGCTGTGTAGTAGTTTTGTGCTAATTTTTTCGTCATTACTTACAACTATTATTATGGAAACTATTATAGAATCGACGATGAAATTCATTTGAATCCCACTTGTTAAAATGATCGGTCCTTTCCCTTACAATTCTTTCTTTTCTTTCACATGAATTAACAAATTTATTTATTATAATTTCTTCTTCAATTGCCATATCGTCAATTATATCGAAAATATCCATTCTATGAATGTTTTTTACATGAAACACACACGAAAACTAACCTCAAACTTCAATCAAACAGAGATAAAGCTTCAAACATACTGTTTATCTGTGGAATAAATACTTATCTGGCCGTCGTAGTGACAGATATACTTATTCCTCAGATAAGTGAATTATTCCCCGAATAAAACCTATCCGACGATTGAACAACGGACTTTTTTGCTATCTGTCGAATAAACCTTACCTGTCTGTTTATCTGAGGATTGAAAAATCGGCCCTGAATAGGTTAAAAAGATATTTTTGCTGTGAGCTCAACGACGCCGTGTAGGCCCTCGACGACGTCGATTTCCAGTGTTTCTAGAAAAGCATAGCAGCTCTCTCTATCAAAATTGTCCCGTTTTCGAAATGCTGAGAAAATTTTGTTGGACACAATGCTGGTTGTTTGCGAAGTGAGGAAGAGGGAATGTCCACGCTTCATTAGCTATCATGCGAAATTCATTAATTTTTTTTCCAATTGAGGTTATTTGAAACCTTATATTTACCCCAACCACCCATCCCGAGTCCTTTAAATAATGTATAATGGTCACGTTAGTCACGTTAGTCATAACGTAAGATAGAAAGACTATTTTCTTCGATCGTTGTTTGCCAAATAAAGATTGGAAACGAATAATGGAACAAATCTTATTCAATAACTTACCATACATGTTGTGATGAGATGCTGCAGTGTTCGCACGAGAAGTAACCGTGTTCAAAGTCCCATTGTGATGAAGACCCATCCTGGAATATTATATAAAAACATCACCATCACTAGTGGGACACGGACCCTATAGGAGAACGGGTCACCACGTGGTTCCAGAGTTGACTGTTAGATCTGTTCCGAGTTTACATATTGGTATTATTCTGTAAGTAACTATTATTTATTTATTGAACTTTATTGACCAATACAAGTATAGTACAAAAGGCGGACTTAATGCTTATAGCATTCACTCCCAGTCAACCTTTGGGAAAATTACAAACGCGTTAGCAATACATAGCAATAGAAGTCCCTCAATTTTAATAATACCGCCTTTTGAATATACTATACTATGTAAAAACTGCTTAAGTCAGCCATTTTCTGTATAATATGAATAAATATAGTAGGTATGATAGATTTATCATTTACCTGGGCATTGGAACTGGTGGTAGCGTAGGGTAACCGCCAAACATGGCTGAGGAGGGTCGCGTCGCCATTGTCTGGGCGTCAGGCTGCTGTTACCATAACGACAAATACTTAAGTTTTCATCATATAAAACAAAAACACCTAAATATAAGACTCATATGTGCCACAGTGAATCTTCATTTTCAGAATCTTCAGATCAGTTCTGACAATGAGTCTTATTTCTATAACCATAAGGTGTAACATACGATTTTTAAATGTCCGTCTACCTCACACTCGGCGAGAATTCAGATGCGCTTGAATAATTTTAATTCGTCAACTGGTCAATTGGTTTGTTATTTTACATAGGTATATTTGTTGTATTTTACAGTAATTTTACTCTTCATTTGAGCCCCTCAATAAATTTGGATAATAAAAATAAATATCTTTGTTTCTCCCCACAAATTCACATACTTCACTATGGGTACATAAATATTTCAACGAATTATTTACTTCTTTATTTGTGGGAGACTGGTGTCTATCCCACCTCACGAATGAACTTAACTAATCTCGTATATATGAATGTAAGTTGTATTGTTGATCGAAGTGTAATACAAACACCATTATTATTAATCCTAAAGATTATTTATAACCTTTACATTAATAAATTTAATACTGGGTCCCTCAAGGCACACTATGCTACTGAGTAACTGTATATAGTTAGGTACTCAACTGGTATATTATACTAAATAGTACTTATAAACGTCTATATCAATATGTTATTTCTCATTTATGTTATTCGTGCCCACTCAAGGTATTTTTGCATTATGAACGAATGTCCTAGGTATGACCTCTAAACTTTATTAGACAAGCTTTATACGATTTCTTTTAGAACTTACGGCATAATGGTTGGCTTGTGCTTGCGCCATAGCTTCAGCTATTTGCGCCCATCTCATTCTCTCTTCCAAAGTAACCTGTTAAACAAGTAATTACAAATAAAATATTTTTAAACACTTATTTCAAATATCGAAATAATAAAAAAAAATCAGTATCAATGTTATTTAATGTCTAAAGTTTGATTGTCAAACTCGTAAAGGAATAAAATATGCAATTACAAAGGAAATCTGAAATTAACCTTTTTTCTAATTGTAACAAAATCCTATGTACTCACTTGGTATGGCGGTTGGCCGACAGGTGGCGTTTTTATAGTGTTCGCAGCCATATAGTTGAACACCGGTGATCCCATACCCATCGCTTTCTGTTCCCGGGACCATTTCCGACTGAAATAATTAATTTTTATAAAAAAAAATTTATTTATTCAAAGATTTTTTAAAATAATCACACAAGACAAGGGAAATTTCTTTTTGAAAATAAAAATTGTAACAAAAATTAAGGAAAATAATAAAAAGTACTTTTCTATTGCCATAGAAACAAGACGGTTTGTAGTTTCCCAAGGTCACTTTCTTTTTACCTCCACGAAAGAAGTGCAGCAAGCGTTAGAGCGATGACGAGCGCAGCAGCGAGCGAAGCGCCCACAGCCACGCCCACCACTTCGCCGTCCACCTCGCACGTCGACCCGTAGTATCCGGACTTACAACTGTCAACGTTATTACAAACAATATAAGTCGTAATATACAATAAACACAACTAACTTTATGACGACATCTAACTCATCGCGTTATCATCACCACAAAAATCGATGGCAAAACTTTAAGGTTTAAGTTACCTCGCACAGTTACAAGATGGCGTCATGATACCTGCATCGCACTTATAAGTTTTAACTACACTTTACATATAAGTACCTATATTGTTTGAACCACAGAATAAACTAAACGATTTGGACAACGAACTCCGGACTACAAATACCCAGCCCAGAGGTACATACCCATTTTCCCTTTATTCTTTCTTACAAATTGCTACCAAAAAGTAGGAACATAACTTTACAAAAAAGTATTTTTTAAGTTTTATTATACTTTATTTAAACCCCCCTGCAAATTTCATCAGGTTAAATTCAGAGCTCATACTTGCAGTTGAAAACACAGGTTGTTATCAAATATTGAAATAAGTTTGAAATCGTTGTTGTATGACGTAAAATCCATTTCTGTTAAAATCTCCTATCAGTTCCACATTGCAAAAGAAATAAATAGCGCAAGAAATGTCCAACCAATATTCTTCACTTTATTTGAGTGGTAACTGATATTACAAGTGAAAGTAATCTAATCTAATTACGAGTATTAAAGTGCAATATGGACAACAATAGTGGTGATTGAGGATGAGAAACCGGTGACGTCGATTTTATTACATGGTGAGTATCATAATCTCATTCTCCTGTGGAATGACTTTTAATATTTTATCTAAAGTATACCTGCAATAAGGCTGCCCATTGGTGTACTTGCAGGTTCCTCTATCATTGCAGTGTGTAGATGGACACGCTTTGCACGTACGTCCAGACGAATAAGGAGAACTAGACTCGTCCAAAGTGCCGTCTGGGCAAGTACATCTGAAACAAAATACAAACGTAATACTCCTCTACTCTAGTGAAGAGTGGAATTTAACCTTTTGTTCGTTTGGTCTTTTCAATATTCCCGAAATTATGCAATAATTCTATCATTTTTAAGATTTTTGTAAACAAAATCTCGCCACTTCGAAGAATAAAAGACAGATTTTTTAGACTTGGAACTATTCTATTGTGAAAATCGTATGCAGATAAGCACTATAAGAGCATGATCACTTTATTGAAACACGTTTACTGTAAAAATACTTTTTCGATTACCTAAACCCTCCAAAGCTATTGATGCAAGTAGCTAGTTGATGGCAGTCATTAAGCTCTGGTGATGCACACTCGTCCAAATCTGCAAAAAAATACAATTTATTCTGGTAAAGACCTTATGAGATACATTTTCTTAGACACAATAATGAAGATTTCTTTTGCTATTACATTGTATCATTTTATACAGCTGCGTCTTGAGTTTGATAACTTTGTCATATACCACCACCATGGTCACCTCTGAAGGATACGATGGAGTAAATACAAAAATTATTAAGTCTTGTTAGTGTTGCCCAAATGCAAGAACAAGACGAGACTTGGCCAGTCTTGGTCTTGGTCTTGCGCCTATACACCTGGTCTTGGTCTTGGTCTTGCGCTCCCAGTCTTGGTCTTGGTCTTGGTCTTGCTGCAAGAGTCTTGCAAGTCTTGCAATTACCTATTAGGCTATTGCTATTTATTAAAGTTTACTTTAGATCTTAGGAATTAACATAGCCATAGTAAAAAACAATCAAATTTATAAATGTTTGAAGATTTGATAAAAAATTCGATAACTGCTACATGGTTATCAACTGAGCTTCCGTTTTCCATGGGAGTAACTGTTTCTTAATAAACATTTACGCTTTATAAGCTTACATGTGCTAAAACATGTAAAAAACAAATTATTTACAATAAATTGACTGTATTTTAAAGAATCTCTCTAGAAAGAGATTGAACCCTCAACTTATATGAAATTTTATAATAGAGTTTTACTATTTATCATTTATTTCAATAAAAAATAAAATACAACACAAATCAAATAACATAACAGCTTTGTCATTAGGTTCTGTTACTTTATATCAATTCTTTTGACCAAGAACTAATACAAAGTAACCATCTGGCTGACTCATCACTTAACCTATTTTTATGTTTTCTAATTACTAATGATGCTTTAGAAAATAATCTCTCAGCAGGTACTGAAGTTGCAGGTATTGAGAGAAAATCACGGGCCATCTTCGATAAAGTCGGATACTCTGTCTCATGCGTCCTCCACCAATATCTTTCTAGCTGGCAGCTCTTGGTTTTCTCAGGTATTCCTCCAACTCGTCTATCACTAAGCCTTGAAGACTAGATCCAGATGACGTCGAGGGACATTCATACAGTTTATTAAAATCTATTACGTCTTCATCTTCATCACATACCTTATTTTCTTTTCTTGGTAATTCCAGATATTTGTTCAGTGAGTGTAGACTGTAGTATTCTTCATAAAGTTCATTGAACTTGCGCAGGCTTTCTGTTTTAAGTTGCTTCCCCCATATTGTCAGATCTAAAGTCTGAGCCTTATGCCTTGGGTCTAAAATTAAAGAAGTACAATAAATCCAGTTGCTCTTCTTATAATGTTTAAGCATTTTGTCTCGAGCTGATTGGAAAGCCAGAATGAGCCTTTCATCCACTTCAGATCGATTAGGTTTCTCATCTAACTGTTTTACCATGGATTCAATTTTATCGAGCAAGAGATTGAATGATACAATGACTAGCGGTAATGTAACATTTTTTCTCCACCAAGTTTTGTACTTAAAAGTTTAAAGTTTATTAGAAACTTATGTATTTTTTCGAGTATTTGCCATTCACTAGCTGTGATTTGAAAATCATTCAATTCGGTGACAGAACTGCACAATATGTTAATGCCCGCTCTCACTTTTAAACCAAATCCAATCATATCATGTGTGGAATTCCATCTCATTGGACAGTCAAGAATGGGATTCAGATTTGATGGCACGCCAGCTGCTTCACAAGCAGACTGAAACTTCTTCTTGACTATTTCACTTCTTTTTATTTTACTGGAAATACTGCGTAACTTTGTTACAGATGTACGCGAGTCAGCAATATTTGGTGCATATTCTTCATCTTCTTCATCTTCCTCAGTTTCGTCTGCATAGTCTTCATACTGTTGATCTTGCGCGTTAGTGTCAGTCTCACAGTGTAATGCTAAGGTCTTTAATAAATCTTGTACACCAAGGTTTAAAATGTGAGCAAAGCATCGGAAATGTTGATTGTCTGAATCAAAGTGGCAGCTGTTTGCCTAGTTCATACATAAATTTGGTATTTGCAGTTGCGTTGTCGACCGTGATACCTTGTATTTTATCAATTATGTCATATTCCAATAAACATTTGTGGAAAATCGTTGCAATATCTTCCCCAGTATGTCGACCGCGTGATGGTATAAAATTTGATACAGTTTTTTGCGTCTCATAGAATTCCTAAGCGTTCCTATACACCGAACTGTTATTCCTAACTACTCCGTGAAATAGCGCTAAGTTCTAGCTGCAAGACGCAAGAGTCTTGCGGGATTAGTCTTGTTCTTGCTGAAGTCTAGTATAAACGAACTAATAAATATCTTGACATTTGGTAAATTTATCCTTCCAGTTTGGGATTTTTCCGGATGCATTAAAATTGTCAGTAGTAAAACCACTTTACAAAATGGGTGATAAAGATGACATTAACAACTATCGCCCTATTACTATTATTACCATATTTTCGAAGATATTTGAAAAATGCATGTACAGAAGACTAGTAGCCTTCTGTGATAAATTTGATATAATTAATAATGAACAATTTGGGTTTCAAAGTGGTAAGTCAACCACGTTGGCCTCTTTTACACTTTTGGATACTATATTGACGAACTTAAATAATAACTGCCTTACGACAGGCTTATTCCTTGATTTATCTAAGGCATTCGATTTTGTTTCCCATAAGTTATTGTTAAAAAAATTAGACTCGATCGGTATAAGAGGTGTGGCATATCTATGGATTGAGTCATACCTGTCAAACAGAAAGCAATCCGTTACTATTGATAGGCGTTCCCCAAGGAAGTATTTTGGGACCTATTTTATTTTTACTATATATTAATGACTTCATGAACGTGACAAACTATAAGTGCATTCTGTATGCTGACTACATTTCAATAATAGTGACATCAAATAATAATTCGATACTGAATCATGAATTTGACATAAATAATACTGTTGACAAGGTAATAGAATGGCTAGAAAACAACAATTTGACAATAAATTTAAAGAAATCAGTTTTTGTTCAATTCAATAAATCAAAACATATTAAATATAATTTTAAACTTAATATTAATAAAATCAAACAAGTACCACATACACAATTCTTAGGTATTACTATAGATGAAAATTTGAATTGGAAACAACATGTCGACAAAACATGTAACAGGATAAACAAATTTGCTTATGCACTGGGTCAAGTTGTAAAAGTAACAAATAAAAAACAGCTGTTATATGTTATCGGGCTTACGTGGAATCGATATTACGTTATGGTCTTGTAACAGCACAGACTATCTTATCACAGAGCCTTCATAACTCAAAAAAAATGTATCAGAGCGATCTGTGGAATTCCACCTGGTGAATCATGTCAGGAGTCATTTAGGCAACTTGGTTTATTACCGCTATCATCATTATATATTCTGGAAGTGTGTACCTTTGTAAGGAAATACAATCATTTATTCAAAAAACTTAAGGACATTCAAAAATTTAGACAACGTCGAAACCCTGATAGACTTATATTAAATGTACGATAATTCCAAAATCGGATAAGTATGGGAGAAGTTGTTTGGCTATGTGCGTTAAAGTATATAATAAAATTCCACATGAACTGAAGTCTTTAACGCCTGGATTGTTTAAAAGAAAATTATATGCCTGGCTAAATTGTAATAATTTTTATAGTATTAGCGAATTTTTGAACAAAAGGAATTAGAATATTACATTGACTTTTTTTTTTAACATGACATATAATTTCAACATAATAACAATTTAATAATTTTATTGTAATAATTGTGACTGTATTAGATTCCATTATACTGATTTGCATGCTATTTGAAAATGGCGAAACATGAGGATTTTGTACAATTTTAACACCTTTATACCATGTTTAAGGCAAATAAAAAATTATTATTATTATTACTATGGGTCTTATAATTAGACTCAAGATAACCGAACATGTTATGGAGATAGCAATGTTTCGTGCTTCTATCTCTCGAGAAATCCAGATAAACTAAAGTAACTGATCCTGCTTGAATGATTTCTCTGCTAAAAAAGCAGCGAAGTGGTTTTAGAATGGCGATCAGGCACCGGCCAACAATAAGGGTATGTCAATAATCAGGTGGAGTGACGATCAGATTAAGATCTGGGATAACCGTTATATGTGAGCTAAGATAATCTATCTGTCCTCCCGTAGTATGACTGAAATTATGATCATGATTTACATTTAATGATTGTGATAGTGAATGTAATGTTGGATATGTTGGGGATTTTGATTATGTGCAGAGCTATGGTAATTTAATATCATTTACGGTACCCCTGAGTGGCAGCACGCTGCCGGCAGGCGTGTCTACGTAGAGCGCGGAGGCACCCACGTTATTGGAGCGGCGCCGTATGACTCCCAGCACATGCTTCTGTATCTCCGTCGCCACCGCCGTACGTAATGTCTCCGGGCTTTCTTGCATCTGAAGATAAACCCCGTCCAAATAACAGTACCAGACAAAACTTAATGACGCTAGTACCATTTATTAGTATTGTTGCATTAATGATAGCCTACAGAGGAATAAACTTCAATAACAATTATTATATCAAATATTTTAGATAATCATGTCCACAAAGTCCTAAAGTACACACTTTTTAGTTAGTGATTTTTGTACACACGTACAGCAATCACTCGTAACTACATTTTTGTTACATGTATTTCTACAAGTGACATCATTTTGTCAATTAAATTTGACAATTTTAAATGAAATTTACACGATATATTTAAAAGTACTACACAAACAAGTTAAATACGAGTATATATCCAAAACTATAGTACATATTTTTGGCACCCAAAAATTACTTACTAATTATTATCTATTTCTTACCAGAACAGTATAATTGACGAATACTCCTTGGTTGTTCTCATCGCCGCGGTATATAGTATTAACGGAGGCGCTAACGAAATCGTCTGAGAACGGTGTCATTGAGAAGGCGGAATCTATCTGCAAAGAAAATGGCATAGAGTTTCGACTTTCACATGTGCTTATAACCACAGCTGTGCTTATAACAGCCTAAACTTAATAAATGATATTGATTTGAAAAGACAAAGACATCAAGAACAAAATATTAATTACATTCAAATTTTTCTTTTGCTTAAGATTTTTCCGTTCAATGTCCTACCATAATTGCCGAAGATTAGTAAAATAATAAAGTACAAAAATATTTACATTAGCAACGATATTATAAATCTATACAAATAAGTAATATACTCACAGCTCGTATCGCTTCAAAACTCAGTTGCTGGTATGGATCAGATTCCTTATCAGCCAATTTCAGATCCCAAACCACCTGAAATTTAAAAATGCAACTCTTTAGTTTAACGTTTCGCTTTGGCATATATAGATTAACAATAAAATATTGGTAATAAAAAAAAACACTTATAGAAATAAGCATTATAAAATGTTTGCCTACCTTCCTGTCATAAAGTCTGTCAACTCTCAGATTCAGGAGCAAAGACACCACTCGCCTGCAAGGGTCTCTGTGAGTTCTTCTCGCATAACTTGGCCTGCACTGACAACTTGATATACCTGAAGAAATAGAATTCATGTTATGCAATTTTATTTTACATGTAATATGCTATACAAGATAGGATTATCTCTAAAAAAAATCTTTTTTCTTCATGAATTAAAATATAACTTCATTTGGATATACTCGTATATACTCGTATTTATATATTAAATACAACATATTCACAAAATAGAAGATATGAAGACTAGTAAAGGGCTAACATTGAAACCTTGTAGTATTATGAACTAATGGAATTGACATACCCGATTCAGTTCTACACTTTTCATTTTGCGCCTGGTCACATGTAGAATCGTCCCCGACGATGCACGTATCTATTCTGCAACGTTTTAATAATAATAAAACGTGTTATTTAAGAGTATTAAAAGCTTATTTTATCAAACGCAACGAAATTCTTAACACGAAATCCTGATATCCTTATATGTATAATTTACTAATTACTAATTCTTAATATGTTTTATACTTTCTTGAAGTGTCAAAGAACAACTCACGTGGTGAAAGTGAAAATTTAAAATGTTGATGTTACCTTATTGGAGGATGTGGTCTTCTGTACGGTTGCTGTGGTCTCGAATGTACTGGCTGATGGGGTTGTGGCCTTCGCACCGGAGGAGTTGGAGAGTGGGGAACATCATCAGCCGGAATTGCCACTCCTGTCCCGATCGTAGCATCGTGAGGTGGTGCCGGCAACGGAGGTACTGGAAATGCACATATATTTATACTTCAAATATCAGTTATAAAATTTTAATCAGTTGAAGGCCTATAATCGCGGGAATGTAATGATTTAATGACTGTGTTACAAAGTGGATTATCAAAGTGGATTTAAGATATAAATATTTGAGTTTGTAATTTTCAACCCAGATGTTGAAAACTCTTATGTAATCAGATTATTATACACAGTCAGATTATTATAATCAATGTATAGGTATTTCAATTGACCAATATATTATTATCTCGAGCTCCTATGTGCTTCGAAAGCCATATTAAACCGATAATCGGTAATCGGCACTGGACCCGCTTCATGGCTCCCTAATCGATTCGGATCACCTGTGCCTCAGCCCAGTAGTGGTATACTCTATCTGAGACTGGTGATGACTTTTGATATACATTTAGGTGCCAAGTTAAACTATAACGATTTTTGTAGGACTGGACTCACCAGAAGCTTGTATAGGTGGTTTTTGAACATGAGTCGGTCTAACGCTAACTTCTGCAGCGGTAGAAGTATCAAAGAGATTCAAGTAAGTTCTTTTGCCGTCAATAGATACGAAGCCTTGTTCTCCTGATGCGGATACGATGATGTCATCATGATCAGAGTGTCCAGATAGTGGGTTCACGTTTTCAATGTGGACTGTGAAAGAGAATGTTTGTAAACTTATTATAAATTGTTATATTTTTGATAGATATACACTACCTACATATTGCGACTTTTAATGCTTATACTAACACTTTCAAATCCTCTCAAAAACATTTGATATTTTGAAGTAAACCTAAAAATACTACTTTTACAAGCAATTTTATGGCAGTCTTTCTCCTGTTGTTCAAGAATAAAGCAGGCTTTTACTTATAGAACCTACAAACCTGATGCTCCTTTTCCTCCTGGGCCTTGAATAGCAGAGACGGTAACGTCAAAGATTTCACCATACCCTGGTAGCCTGGTCTCCGGTGCAGTAATGACAGCAACTTCTGATGGTCTATAGCGAGAACCATGGGGTTTGAAATCAGTGTCATCTAGAACTATACCGGGACGTGGGCGATATGGCTGGTAAGGGATGCCCTGGGAAGCTGAAAAATATATCAGATATGCGATTATATGGTTTAATATTACTGAAACCGCAGTGAAATATATATATATTCTAATGTCTTCATTTTACTAAAGAAAAACTATAATATAAACAATAACATTAATTCAAAAACACATATAAGCAAAGAAATATCATAATGTCATATATAAAAAAAAAAGAACAAACAGCCAAATAAGAAAAAAAAGGAATCAACTCCAGAATAAACCTTAAAAGTTAATTAAGATTGAAACGCAAGAGCTTAGCACTAATGAAGTGGTCGCTAAATGATTGAATTAAAATAAATTACTGAAAATAAAATATTTGTTATTGTTAAAAAAAAAAAATCTGTTAGTAACAGTAATATATCCTTTTTATAGTTTTGTGCTAGATTTATATAAAAAATGAAATTATTATGAATACTTACAAGGTAACGCTTCAGTATTAATTGATGATGTTTTGACGACATTAACTGAGCTAGACGAATCAATTAAAGCTGGAGAATGAGTCAGCAAGCCTTCTGTCGGTGTCGGTGCAGCAATAGATACGGTTGATGTGGTTTGAGACTCTGATAATGATGATTCAATTATAGGAATCACAATAGTTTCTTCTTTTAGAGTTTTATTTACTGGTTTTTCATCAATAATTTTGTATTTATCTTTGTTTACTTTATCCTTATCCGTACCTGAATCTTTTTTCTTATCTTTCTCTAATTTGGATGGCTTGTCTGTTTTTGGTTTTTCGCTTGTTGTTATTTTCTCAGTTGTGACTGGATATGTAGTTGGTTGTTCAGTCGTTGTTGTAGTTTTCTCTGTAGGTTTTTCCGTTGTCGTAGTAGTTGTACTAGTTGTTGCTTCAGTTGTTGTGCTAGTTGTTGTTGTTGTTGTTGAAGTAGAAGTAGTTTCAGTGACTGTGGTTGTTTCTTCTTCATCATCATCATTATCGTCGTCTGTTTCCTCTGTGCTATTTCCTCCTGGAAGAGCCGGAATTGGCATAATGTTTTCTTCATGATGTATAGTATTTTCGGAATTACTAGTTTCATTCTCGCTTACAGTCTGTTCTTCCTCAGGTTTTTTGTCTTCTAATTCTGGAAGATCATGAGGGAGAGGTGGAAGGGCAGGCTTATATATAGGAAGACCAGGATTAGGCCTTCTATTCGGTGGCCTAGGACGAGGCCTCTGCCAAGGAGGCATTGGTCTATGAAATCCTGGTCTATGAGTCATTGGTGGTACAATTTGTTCAGGTAAATTGACACCATGATGCGGTGGTCGATCGAAGGGATAAGGAGGTGGTGTTTTAGTTGGATGATAGGCATGCATTGGAGGAGTCACTGGCGGATCAAATTCAGGTAATGGCGGAAGATCTGAAATTCTTGGAGGCCCACGATTATTGATTCTAGATGCCATAGGTCGCCCTGGTCGACCATTTAAAAGTTGAGAATTAGCTTGAACGTTCACATTGCCATTTAAAAGCTTCACAATACCAGTAATGATATTTTGTATCTCGCTATTTTGCCTTCCCTGGTGATTAAGGTTGGAAGTCGCAAAAATCGGCTGCACTGCAGTAGGCCGAATTCTGGGCCCCGGGAGCGTCAGTGCGCGCGCTACCGGGACCCTTTTCCCTTCCCCCGGAAACCTAAATTCTAGTCTATCGCCAAAACCGTCAGAAGACATGACGATTTCATCATCTTTATTGAAGTAATCTAAACTCTTTGTTGGCCTAATTTCATAGTATTTCCTTTTATTGTGTAATTCTATGTGATTGTCTATTTCGTTATTGGCTAATGGAACATCTTCAATATGTATAGAACGTGACTCTCGATCATTAGGGTCGACAGATCTTGCAATCCTTACAAGGTTTTCTTCTTCACTATCATTTATAATATCTTCAGGTACTAAATCTCCATCATTAAATGCTACACTTGGTTCTATTCTAAATGCTAAACTTTCTGTTTGACTTGTTTGTAGCACCACATCTTCCGGTAATTGAGCTGCTGATTTTGGAGATATGTTCGTTATTGTGTACATTTCTTCGTAACCTGAAACCAGTGTAACTTTCTGTTAGAAAAAAAAGCGTTTACATTGTCAATTTTTTAAATTCTATTTTGTTTTTCATATAATATGGCCGTAACTTTCAATTAATTTAAGAAAGTTATGCACATTATTTACACATAAAAAGTACCACACAAAAAAAATCTGTATTTCGAATACGAAAAAAAATAATAAATTACTAATGCAGGCAATATTTACTTGTATTTTGTTGTACTTATATGTGATATCACGAATAGGGATAGAGGAGCTTGATGGCGCAATGCCTAATGCTGATCATAAGATGGGGAAAAAAAATTATTCTTTCTCTCTATTCGATACTATTTCATCTATATAGAACGTCTATGTTCTAGCAGTGAGGACATTGATAGACTGGTTATTATGATGATATAAATAGCACAGTCATTATCATCATCATCCCTTTTACGTCCCCACTGTAGGGGCGCAGGCCTTCCTTATGGATGGTAAAAGAGGATAGGCCATGACCCTCCACGCTGGCCCAATGCGGATTGAAGGGTATTAACGACTGCAAATGCAGCCAGGACCAACGGCTTAACGTGCCTTCCAAAGCACGGAGTAGCTCGAGATAATAATTTCTTGGTTACCCTTCCCGTGACCGACCCTTGCGAAAGTTGCTTAACGACAACGATCGCGGGCCGCGGCGCTTATCCACTTCGCCACCGAGCTACTCATATGACAGAACTATTAAATTATTATTAATATTTCAAAATGTACACTAGTTAGTTTCACCAAACTGCATAGCAGTTTGTTGGCGAAGATTATCACTCATTTTCTTATACAAGTATATATATCTACTTTTACAAATACTCACAAGGATAGAAAAAACAAATACTTATAATAACATCGCATTGACTACACTACTAAATAATAATACAGTAAGATATCCTTTAATTTTCTTTTAAAAATAGGTTTACATGACTTTTTATCTTCTCTTGTATATTTATGTATGTACATAGTATGACAATAAAATAAATACTATTCTGTTCTTAACAAGTTTATTTTATCATACTGTGTACACTCTCCTGCTATACTAAAGTATTAAGCTAATCTTAATAAAAAATCTGCCAGTGAGCATCCACCTTTATATCGTTATCATTCGCTTAATCCAACGTCCTCACTGCTGGGGCATAGGCCTGCCCAATGCCCAATAGACAAACTCAAATAAGGAAAATCTACCGATGTTTCTGTGAATAATGTGCATATCTGCATAGAATAGTCTAGAGGCTATTCTTTCCATTTTAGTGCGCAGTTAGAATTAACACGCACAGAAAAAGTTCTTTTATTGAAGTAATAATTACGCTGTCATTTTATTTGGAGATATTTGACTATTGTGTTTATTCTGGACTTATAAGGGCTTAAAATAGTCTGACGCTTTGCTTGTGCAAGATTCTATGACTGGTCCTCAAAGCAACTTGACGATCAGTTTGTTCTTGCTTTCTCAATTCAGCATTTTCAAGATTTTAATGCGCGACTCATTTATAGTAAAATTTAGAAAAAGAATCTAAAAGAATCTACTTTCATTCACTCGGTATTTTTTGCGCCCAATTTATTATTTACCTCTGATATTTTGAATTTTAATTGCTATTTGAGATAAAACTGTTCCTACAAATTTTACTCTTATAATATTATGTCGTCCTCCTTAAAAATATATTATTATTAAAAAAAAACCGGGCAAGTCCAAGTCATCCCGTACCATTATATAAAAAGCACGTTTGTTGTGTTCAAAGATAAATACATTTGGTCGACTATTACTCGTAAATTTGTAAGGCCAACTTGAGTGTGATAGTTTTCCTATTAATTTCATTATCCATACTATTAATATTATAAATGCGAAAGTAACTCTGTCTGTCTGTTACTTAATCACGCCTAAACCACTGAACTAATTTGCATGAAATTTGGTATGGAGATATTTTAATACCCAAGAAAGGACATAGGCTACTTTTTACCGCGGGAAAATAACGCATTCCCACGGGAAAATAATCTAAATATATATAACTCAAAGGTGACTGACTAACATAGTGATCTATCAACGCACAGCCCAAACCACTGGACGGATCGGGCTGAAATTTGGCATACAGGTAGATGTTATGACGTAGGCATCCGCCAAGAAAGGATTTTGATCAATTCTATCCCCAAGGGGATAAAATAGGGGATGAAATTTTGTATGAAACTTTGTCAATTTTAAACCGATCGGGCTGAGATTTTGCATGCATAAATCTACATGACGTAAGCATCCCCTAAGAAAGAATTTTGATAAATTCCACCCCTAAGGGCATAAGCTAAGAGGATAAGACTTTTTTTCATGTAAAGGAGAAAGATTTAATTGTTTGTTTGTTTATTTTCTTCTTCTTTTTTATGCATTAATTATAATAATAAATATTTATTTCAGACCCAGTGAACCATATTAAATTACAAATTACAGAAACATGTGATTCCAAATAAAAATATTACATAGTATAATATAGGTGTTATTAAAAAGGGTTACCTACTAGGTCGCTTTTTAAAATTATTTCATCTACGTTTTTATGCTATGCTTTAGGCGGGTGAAGTAGCCCCAAAACAGCTAATAATTCATAGGACTTCTTCCTAAAGAAAATTACGAACGTGTTTTCCTTATAAGGATTTCGCCTTCCTCAGTTTTGCCGCTCTGAAAAATTGCCCGACTTTGTTCGAATCCAAAATACAGTAGCATAATGCAATGCATTGATACACCAATAAGTTCACCTAATATCTCCTGTCTACTTAGTAAATATACATATAGTAAATACAGTATAGTATATAGTAAATACGAATCATAACTTTATGCTGAGTAGTTTTTTAAAACCCAGTGATATTGTATAATCCCTGAGCAAGAAAATGACATAAGTGTCAAGCAAGACACATTTACAAAAGAACAATACCCAAGGACAAACATGCGTACGTTGACGTTTCGACTTTCACTTAGGCTATGTAGTACAAAACCTTGGTTTAGAGACTATTCAAATAAGGCAGGAAATATACTATTTTTCAAAGGCAAAAAATATTTATTCAAGTAAACTTATTAAAAGTGCTTTAAAACCGCCCAATTTTTTTACCTACCTTTATATGTGTTTGAACATCTAATGCTGCGAATGTTTAGCAGAATAGCATTGTGTTCACGTCTTTTGGCTGATAAGAAGGACCAGCGAAAGAAACTCACTAGCTCTAACAGTAGTATTGAAAATAAATAAAAAAGATAATTGTACGTGTACAACCCCTTAGAAATAAGAAATAATATATAGAATAGGAAAAATAGGAATGGCAATACCAGCGGAGAAGAATGAAAGAGAGCATAATAGAGAAAATAGGAATGAGGACTGCAAGGGCAAGAACTGGAATGGCAGTAGAAACAAAGAACAGTAAGGGCCTACTAATAAGTGGGGATAAGATAGGAGCTCGGCCACAAATTTTAAGGCCGGGCATATTAAAAAAAAACAATAAAAAAAGCAATAGTATTAGATGTATATAATCGCCTATTTTTAAAAAATCTAGCATTGACCCGATTGCAAAAAAAAATACAGATCCTCAAGCATCCTTGAAAGTTAGAGATAAACAATTTAAAGAACGCAACTCTGATGAAGTACAATAGTTCCTATACGGTTAACCGTCACGGTACCATAAGACGTAGGTATCACGATACCGCTAGTTTGCGTATACGCGGCGTATACCATGGAAAATCAACTTTAAAGTGGACGTTCACGTTTGTGTCATTCAGTGTGGCTTCAAATGACTTAAGTCAAATGGATGGATGCCAAACAAATATCACGTTATAAAGAGTATTTCACTAGCCCCAATGAAAATGACATGAGCTCTGATTCCGAAGAAATTTTACTTTGTGCACAGGAAAATGCAACATGTTTATGCGCCTTTAAATCAAAAGGGGGTTTCCTAAACTAAATTAAAAGTTTGTAACGTTTTTAAGTTTTATATATTGAAAGTAAATTCGCCATATTTATGAAAAAAATATGTGTAAATTCGCCACAGATAAAGAATTACAATAATATCTACTGTCTTCTTTACACGATACTGCAATAGCTATCAAGCAAACAAGTTTAAGCTCGTATAAGTAATGAGAATTGCAAGAGATTTTAAAATTTAAAAAGCAACCCGCGATTGAAATATGTGTGAATATGCAAGAAATTTACAAAAAAAAACTTTGTCAATACCTAATTGTTCTTTAAAAGATATTCCTTGATAGTGCTAATCAACCAGAAATTAACAATCCTTTGTTTTTATATTTAAATTTAACTTTATTGGTAAGTTTTGAAACAATACCATTTTAAACTTTTCTGGAGCAACGAAAGGAAGAATTTTTACCGCCTTTAATAAATTTATTTTACAAGCATACATCAGTGTCGCTTATTTTGCGTAGTTATATCATATATTGTCGTTGCTTAACGTAAAAAAAATATTTGTGTGAAGAGCTTACAAAAAACGGCTAGAGGATGCTATTTTTCCTAGTATCTTATATATTTTTGTATAGTTTTGTTAGATTTTTCCTAATAAACCTTGTCCAGGAACAAAACTTGCTCGCCAATGTCATCTCGTTGCCATGTTTGATGACAATTTACCGATAACTGAGCGATAGACGTCCGAATTTTAAGTCTGAAATTCTAAATCTTTCTTTTTTGTCCTAATTTATTACCAGTTTCTTAAAATAACTAACCTTACCTAACCCAAATCGAATACTTCTTGTTCAATTATAAAGTGATCGACATAGAATTGATCGCAATCAAAGTCAAAGCATTAATAATTGTGCAATACTATGATATAAGAAGGATCAACAATATTTAAGAATCAATTTTTTTTACCTTAATGCATTGAAGTCTTTAAATATAAAAATATAGATATTTTATTGTAAAGTATAATGTTTACCGCGTTCGATGTGTGATATGGAGCCTAAGTAACATCCTCAAGGGCTGGTCATAAGATGGATAGCCAAGAAATTATAACCTCGAGCTCCTCGATGATTTTATAGGCACGTTATATCTGTGTTCCAGTGTGTACTGGGGATATTAATGTAGTATGTTGCAAAAAAAATGTATAAGCTGATGTTACTGATATAAAATTAATAAAATCGTCTTTATTCAATATAATAGCTTTCATGCAACTCTAGTGAGTATTTGCCTGTGAATAGTCCATCTTTTGTAAACCGACTTCAAGATCGGAAAGGAAACGGGTGTGTATTTTTATGTAGGTTCATCGCGAATAGCAAGACCGATTTACAAAAAATTTTTTTTTATTAATGGACTGTGACGTTGCTCATAAAAAAATATTGAAATCAAAATTAGCAGTGTTGTTTTTTTAACAAAACCAGTTGCTTTCCTGCGAATTCGTCCTTAAAATTATAATAACCTAATTACTCACGTATAATGTAGCTATTAGATATCTTGATTTAGATATTCAAAATATTTTTTTTTTTGTTCGAAAGCTCTTGTGGCTGAAGTGGCCCATAAAAAAGTATATTGAGATCCGATTAGTAGTTTCATTTTTATAACAAATATAACTAATTCCCGCGACTTCGCCCACATAAATTACAGCCTAATCATCTGCGTAGGATGTAGCTTCTCGTGGGTGAAACAATTCTTAAAATAGGTCTAATAGTTTCAGAGCTTATTTAATGGAAACAAACAATCAAACCTTACTTTTTTATAATATAACTAGCTATTTTCCCGCGACTTCTCAAGCGTAAATTATAAGTCTATCTCTACTCCGTATGATGGAGGTTTGATGATGTGAAAGAATTGGTGCAATTGTTTCGGAGCCTAAACAAATAATCAAATCTTTCCTCTTTATAATATAAGTATAGTCTAATGACATATTTATATCATTGAAAAAAAAAACAAAACGAAAGATCAAGTATTTTCATTTCTTATTAGTTTTTTGGAAAGATCAAGTATTTTCATTTCTTATTAATTCAGGTTCACGTAATGATGTCACGCAGCCATTTTAATGTAGTTTACACGCATTTCGTTAGTCAGGTTATGTTTGTAGACGGAGGCCATTATTTTCCGAATGTGTGGCCCGTTACGTACGCATTCCACGAGATGTCTTACCATCATATTTAATATCATAACTGTGGAATTGATTGCGTTGTCATAACATTATAAATAAAACCAACTTAAAAAAGTGATATTTATATATATATTAACTATTAACTACAACAGAACACAACAGAAATTACAAGTGGTAGGAGTTTTAAATTTTGCAATCGGGTTTTTTTGTTTAATTTTTCTCATTTCTGGACTTAAAACTAGATCACGCGGTCGAAGACGAAAGGATAGTATTTATATAAAAATGAATGGCCAAAATTTATTTGCATTACTTCAGAATGATTGCACCAAATTGGATGATACTTTTTTGTGTTCCTTATTGTCAGGACATGGTTTGTATTTAAGAAAATTTATAAAAAAATCCTCAGTTGCAACTGGAGAAATAAAATATGGCGGTACGAATTTCGCGGGTCAGCCAGTTTAAAGTAAAATTATGTAGCATTGTAAATGAAAAATTGATCACATTTAATAACATCATATAATATAAAAAGACAGTAAATTACGCGAATTTGTATGCTTCGTTAAACCTTCAAAATTTTCCAGGCCGAAAATATATATAAATTCTGCATGTCTTAATTGATCTGGCTAGAAATCGAATATTGAATCTTAAAGGTGGAAACTTCATGACACCAACAAGTCAGCCACGTTTTTGAGGCAATTTATGTTTCGGTCCCCCATCTCATAACTGGGCATCGTGGAAATCACTCTGCCACCGCAATAGCAGACCAAACACGTTTATCATTACTCCAGGCTTATTTATCTCAATAAATTTGAAACAAAACAATCAACTCAAATACACCGAGCTGATTGGCTGGAGGAATTCGTAACGCCTCGAGGCACTTTCACTTTGAATCACTTTGCTTTCGCTTCACAAATGCTACGGTAACGTGCGTTATTACAAATTAAATAAGATATTACAACTTACAAGTTGATACCCGCAGTCAGAGCACGATCTTTTTTTGGTAACGCAGGGGAAATTCACCTTAAGACTATCGGTCCCACTTTATTTGCTCACGAACGAAAATACAAAAAATGACAAATTATTCTTACAATAGGAGTTGATGGCTGAGTCAAAAAAAAAGAAAATCTATTTAGTCCGTAAATTTGATAATAGAAAAATATCAGATAGGTGTTTTTTACTTCAGTTTAACAAAAAGTGTCTTAGATAAATAGTCATTAAAGTTGAGGAGTGAGGGTTCGTTACGTCTCAAGTACGTAGAAAATATTAACCGGTGTGACGTCATGCAACATTTCAATTCAATGTATCGCCGTAATCTGTTGATTACGCAATTTTTTTTTAATTACAATCTAACAGACGGACAAACATCATATGTTATCAAAAATGCGTCTCTATGGATTCGTACAGCATTTCGAAAATAGATGAAATTTCGATTTCAGAACAATACAGTAGTTCTTCAGGTGTCACGTTAATTGATACAAGCAGTAACTTACACCACAACCGATACGGACGATTGCCCAAAATGAAACAACAAGGGTAAAATTTCCGGTAAAAGGCTGGAAAAATGAGGGTGAACATTCTAAAAACTCACGTTTGCACAAGTATTCAATCAAAAAAGGTAGACTAAAATATCGCACCAGTGCTGATAGGACCTATCCAATATCAATTTTCTACTAAAACGAAGTGGGTTTTATCAGATATTACAGCTTTAATCCTCTACCAAATGTATATGTGAATTTTATTTTATTTGGTAGTGATAAATATATCATTCAGGTAGTTTCATTGTTTGTATGTTTATAACCTTCGGAAATACTGCTCTCATCATATAAAATTCTTTCACGAACGGACCGCTACATACTACGCGGATAAATAGACTATCATTTCGTCTTAAAGTCGCAGAAAACCAACTAGGTAGCTATAGATTGATGTAAGAGTGTAATGGAATCAAAGGGATTTACTAAGAGTTTTGAGCTAAGCAGCCACTTCGTATTATAGTTACATTTATTTCACCAAGATATAACCCAGAATACTAATTTCTTATTTTAAAAGAGATTCCAAATCCTAATTTGAGAATCCATTGTAGTTGTTCAGTTCTTTTTTCAAAATTCTCCAGTTTAAAACTCGTTTCAAATGACCAAATAGGTAGACCCACTGAATAGGAACTCGTTCGATGCTTGTTTGCTTAAAAAATGATGTGAACGACCTTCTTGGCCTTGATCGAATCGTGAGATGTTTAAAAATAATTGTATTGGAACGAAAAGGCAATGAAAGCAACGAGAAGGTATGCAGGTGTAAAAAAAAAGTTTATAAGAGATGATACTTTTTTAATGTTAAAAACGAAAAATATTTCCTGGGAGTCTAACACAATCGCCACTATAAACTATTTTTTTATTCAATAATGTTTCTACAGCACTTTTGTACTTTAAGGTCACTATACGTATTCCTTTAATATACTACTTAGGTATGTATATATTTTTCTCTTACATATATGTATTTTACATTTCCTAAATAAGAAGTTTTATAACTTGCTAATAGTTTTATTGTATACTAGCTTTCGCCAGCGGCTTCTCCCGCGTGGATCCTAGGGAAATGTTTAGTGGTAAAAAAAGTATCCTATTATCTATGTCAGCTAATATACCATATGTATACCAAATTTCATCAAAATCCGTTCAGTAGTTTCGGCGTGATTTACCGACAAACATCCATATTTTTCACTTACATATATGTATTTTATATTTCCTAAATAAGGAGTTTTATATAACTTGCTAATAGTTTTATTCTATACTAGCTTTCGCCAACGGCTTCTCCCGCGTGGACCCTAGGGAAATGTTTAGTGGTAAAAAAAGTATCCTATTATCTAAGTCAGCTAATATCCTATATGTATACCAAATTTCATCAAAATTCGTTCAGTAGTTTCGGCGTGATTGACCGACAAACATCAAAACAAAGAAACTTTCACATTTATAATATTAATAGGATAACTAGTAAAAAGTAAATAGGTAGTATCTATTCCAAGACTAATATATAAAAAGTTTTTAGAAATGTGAAAGGTGATTTTTATTTATAGGAATGTTACATATAAATAAAAATCTCCTTTGAGAAGTAGATTATATTCTTAATGAAAAAAGCTTAAAAAATCCACTTTATCCCTGGCACCCTGAGATATGAAGTGGCTTTTTAAGCATTTTTCCATTAAGACTATTTTTCGGTATAGTAATGTGAATGCGAAATTGATCAAATAAAAAATAAGTAGATAATATTCAATCAATGACATATATTTTTTATGTTAATAATACGTGAATAATAATAATTACAAACTTACCGTTTATAACTTGTATCAAGATAGCGAACAGCACCGCGCCTAAGCGGCATCTCGTCCGCCATTTTGTGCCACCGGCGGCCATTTTGTTTTACACTAGAAAATTCGCTTTTGTCCATCCGTGCATTTGTTTCACATCACTAGTTTCATCACATTTCTTCACTATTTTTTTATTTTTGAACTTGATATCCAATTTTTGAGATCACATTTGTCGATGTTCTTGATCTGAAACAAAAATTAGATAGGTTATTATTTACTATAAAATAATAAATGTCTTTGGAAAAACATTGTCAACACTATGAACACCCCAATACCCCAAACAAATATCGTTCAGTTCTAAATATAACTAATTTTTAAATAAAAAAAATCTTTTTAAAGACTTTTTCTTCAAAGCTCTTTTGTAATTATTACTATCTAATTATAACTTATAGAAAAACTTAATGGAATATTTTCTATATGTGTGACTTAAATTTTTCTTATGTAATTTTATACAAACACACCGATGCATTGTCTTTTAATCAGTTCACATACAATGGACAGTTGAATAATAAATTTGTAACAGTTCTACGTACGTGCATAGTTTGTTAAGTTGTCGTGTGCTGCTAACACTATATTTATGCCATATAAATGAATTGACGACCTCATAGCCGAGTAACAGGCATTCAAAGTAAAAACAAAATAGTTTATTCTGTTGGTACTTGGTATACGAATTTCGAGACAGTTGCCCTGTCAAAGTTTTTAACATGGATTTTTGTCTCTTATTTTTGGCACAAACAAAATTTCAATATCAAGTTATTTGTAGACAACGAATACTTAAAAGAAAATAGAACAACGTCGGTTATAAAGTAAATAACAGCTTGTAAACTTTTATAGGTCAACAAAATTCCAATAGCTTGTGTAAATTATAGATAAAGAATAAAAAAAAAAACTTAAAGTTGATCATTGTAACATGTAACGTAAAATTTACGTCACATGTAATTTTTCATACAACTTGGCTGAATGGGCCTAATCCCGAGGAAAATTTGTTTCGTAAAAAAAAAAAATATAAACTTCACTGTCGGTTTTGACATTTGTCACTTCACGACCTTTTTAAATAACGAAAAGATGTGACTCTTTTGTTATATTTTAATCTTGTTGCATCAACGGTATTTAAGTAAAAATACCTTATATTTAATAATGGTAAGCATTATTCTTCATGGAATTATAATTTTTCTTATAGTATTTTCCTATTTTCAAATTTTTTATCTTCGCAGGTGGAAACATAAACCTACTTAGGGGTCCACCTTGCCCCATGTTGCTTTAGTTTTTTGTTTTAAAACGGTAAGTTTTCGAAAGGATCGACCGATATATTTTCGTTTGTTTTGTTTTCTAAATTTTAAACGGTGTGATTTACTTTTCAGCCGTTGGCGTTTTTTTTTTTATATACAAGTTTTCTTGTACTTCAATTTTGATGTACTGATCATAACCTTTACCGCATGAGTCACGCCACACTCACTTGATACATCACAATCTTGGGCACGCCAGCTTAGCACTATATAATTAAGAAGCAGCTATGTAAGCACGATGCATTAAGGAGCAGCTCATTTGGTGATGTAAAACCTTTTTATTAATAGTTCGAAAATTCCAATCACCTCTAAGACTAGAGATTATAAACTTAACTTTAATTTCAAAATATATAAAAGTTTCATTAAAATATATGGCAAACCAAAAGTAAAAGTTGTTGTTTGTTATTTACAAGCCCCCCTTGCGATTAAAACTCCAAACTCTCCGGCTTTGTTTTCCAGGTAGGTCTGGCGCCTGAAAAATTTATACTAGTTTCTTATAATTATTTAATTTGTTAGTGACCTACCTTTTGGCAAATTTCTTTGCAAACTTACATTATTTTTAATATCACAACTTTCACAGTAATAATTTTCAAATAGTAACCATCACACAGTAATAAAAATAATTTTTTAAATATTACAATTGACACCATTCACACAGTAATAAATTAATTTTTAATATATTACAATTGACGCCAGCTCACAGGGACTTGGTTTTGAAGTAGCGAGCTCACTTTACAAAGCTTTTTGGTTTGCCATTTTATTAAAATTTTATTCGAGTGTGGTTCAAATTAAATTAAACATAATATGCCTATTTTATTTGAATGTCATCATTACTAATTTGTGTGTACTACTTTATTTTCCCTACCATTTATCTTTGGATTTGTTGCTTGCGGCTAAGCATTTGCTTATTTATGTGAATACTTGCTGTGTTTACACCATTTATTTCACAAGTGATAATGTGAAAAATATTTTTTGTTCAATCACCTACTAAAAGAATTTACTAGTGAAAGTATAAACAAACAGACAAACTCTGTATTGTCCTTTTGTTTAAACTGATAAAAACATAGCTATTTGATGTGATCATTTGGTTCATACTTTGTTATTTACATTTCTAAATGCAAATTCACAAAGGTTATTTATTCTCTTGTTTATGCTATAAAAGAACTTTATGTTCGAACATTTTATACCTACTATATAAAATAGTTTGTTACATTAAGCTTGAACTTTTATAACAGGTTTCTTTTATAAAAGACAATGTTCTGCAGGTTATTTTGAGTGGTTAAAGAAATTATTTTTATTGAAATTAAACATAGAACAATAATAGGTATTAATTAAAATTGTCATAAACTTAATATTTGAAATTAAATTATTAAAACTTATGTTACAACTTAAAAATATATTACACTTAAAGTAATTTAAAACTTAATTCAATAATAATTTGAAAACCTTTATCATCATTGTGGTATTTTGTATTTATTGAACTTGTAACAATTATCATTATTTGCATTTACTTAGAACTTGAAGTTTTAAAATTAACTTTGAATTTTTTGTTATTGAACAAGTGTATACTTAATTTAAGATTAACTTAAAACATTTAGCATTAACTTGAAACTTTTTTGTTATTTGAGTCATATTATTGCAGTAATAATTTACATAAAACAATTGGAACTTAGTTGAATTTTGACAAATAATTTTGACATAGGTTATTAAATTTGTTAAACTTGCTGCATCTTGCTGACCTTTTTGTGTCTTATTTGAGTGAATTGAATAATAATTTCACTGCTATTTTTGCATTCCACAAAAATGGAAACGGAAAAACTTGCACTGGCTACTGCTTCACAGCCTAAGGAACAGTCAATTACTGTTGCAACAGATACAAGTGATTTAGCTTCACCGCCTGCTTTTACACACCCACTTGCACCTGAATTGATAAATTTGACTGATAATATTACACTACACAATTCAAGATTGCTTGATTCGCAACCAGCTTTGCAACCAGCAACCACAAATGCTTCACACAATAGTACAAATTTAGGTCATCATTTTGGTGTTGACAATTTGAAAAAGTCAACATATTATAAACGTCCTGATGTCTCCAAAAGTAAAATTTTGTTTGATGGTAAGTCTTGTGTTCGTGAATTTATAACTAGTGTTGATGAGTACATGGTTTCCAGAGATATTGATGAATACTTTATTGTCACATCGTTTTCAGATTTTCTTACTGGTGTTGCAAAAAAGTGGTTCCGCACTGTTCGAGTGAATTATAGTTCTTGGTATTCTCTTAAAGTCGATTTACTTAAACGTTTTGATAAACTTGATTTTGATTACCAACTTGAATTTCTTTTACGCACACGTAAACAAAAATCCACAGAAACTTTGTCTGATTTTATAATAGAACTGCAGGATATGTCTTTTCGTCTTTCTGATCCACTTTCGGAACAAAATTTAATTAACATTATTAAGCATAATATGTTGCGCTCATATGCCATGTATTTTGTTGGCCGAAACATAACTTCTATTGACCAAATTGTTCGATTGGGAAGAGAAATTGAAGAACTCGCTTCAGATAGTAATTCTATTAAATCGGAGTCACGCTCATCTTGTTCTAGGGGTAGTAAAATTCATTTAGTTAACGTTAAAAGTGATAAAAATTTAACTTGTTTAAAATGTAAACGTCAAGGTCATAACTATAGAAATTGTTCAAGCATTCCTGGCATTATTTGTTTTAATTGTCACAGACACGGAGTGACTACCCTCACCTGCGACTGTAATAAATCACAAAATTGTAACAAAAAAGTCGAAATTTCTGAGCCGGTTCCAAAAAACTAATTAGGCCTCATCGAGCTCCGCTTTGTAGCGAAGTGCGTCGAGACTCGATGGAAAATAGAAGTGTTAATGTTAATAGTGGACATAGAAAAGAATTTGATGATTGGATAAATTACTTGAAGGTATTTTTTAAAAATTATAAAGTAGCTCCAATTCTTTTTGTTAAAAACACTGATAATAGACCTTATCTTAAATTTAATGTTGGAAATAGTAAATTTACTGGAATTTTAGACAGTGGTGCTAATTGTTGCGTTTTAGGTGCGAATAGTCACACACAATTTTTAGAATTAGGATATAAACTTCAACCCATACATAAAAAAGCTCATACAGTGGATGGATCTTCTCAAAATATAATTGGAATTTTAGATTTACCTGTGACTTGTGATGATGTTACACAAATAGTTTCCTTTATGATTATACCCTCCTTTGAACCAAATATAATATTAGGTTTTGATTTTTGGTTAAAATTTGACTTGGCTAAAGATTTATTTAAACACATAACTTTTGTTGACGACAGAGATGTAAACGTTTGTTCTGTTACATCTGCTGCTCATCTTTCTCCTTCTGAGACAAAAGAACTCGATAAAGTAATTAAATTGTTTAAAGATATTTCTTACGAAAAGAATGGTTTGGGCTTAACTCATTTAACTGAACATAAAATAACTACTACTGGTGAACCGATTAAACAACGCTATTATCCTTTAAGCCCAGCTAAGCAGAAAGAAGTGTATGATGAGGTTGAGGTTATGTTAAGAGAGGGAATTATACAACCTTCCAAATCTCCCTGGAGTTCTCCTGTTTTGACCGTTCCTAAAAAGGACGGGGGTATTAGACTTTGTTTAGATTCAAGAAAATTAAATTCTGTAACTGTTAAAGATTCTTATCCATTACCTTATACTTCTTATATTCTAGATAACCTTAGAGGTGCTAAATTTATTAGTGCAATTGATTTGTCTAAAGCCTTTTTACAAAT